GGGGGGGGAGCGGGAGGCGGCCCCCGCCCGGGGTACTGGGGCGCTGCGGCCCCCATAAGGGGGTCCAGAAACTCGGGAGGGGCTGAGGTAGGGGGGACCAGAGGCAAGTCGGCCAAAGAGCCCCGCTCTGCACGCAGGGAAGAGTCGTCCTCTGGGGGGTGGGGACAACCAAGGGCAGGGTGCCCCCCCCAGCCAGCCACGGCATCCCCCCTCTCCAATGGCAGGCAGGAGCAGGGACCCTCGCGACTGCACAGGGGACAAGGGAGGGGTCCCCGGCGACTGGGTCCCCCACCAAGACTGCTGCTGTCCTCGCCTGGGGAACTCTCTTCTTCTTCTTCCTCGGCCCAGGGTGCGGTACCCTGCTCCCCAAGCACCTCGGCAGGATCTCCTGCCAAGGTCTCTCCAGCGCCCCGGCCCTCGGGGTCCCAGCCGCTCAGTAGGAAGCCACCTGATCCAGAGGACTGGGTCTGAAAGGGTCGGGGCGCAGGGAAGAGGGGGGAAGCCCAGGTCTCGGATACCAGCTGGGGGACCTCGGAGGGAGCCTGGGGGGCCTGGGGACCGGGCACGCCTGGGTCCAGCGGGTCCCAGTCGTTGGGGAAGAGGGGCTCTGGGGGAGAACCATGCTCCTCCAGGCGGATGTAGTACTCGCTGCTTACTGAGGGGCTGCGTGCGCTGATGACCGGCAGCACGCTTGGCGTGGACAGCGCCTCATAGAAGGGGTTGGATGGGTTGGTGTGGGGCGCAGGAGGAGCAGAGGCAGGCTGCCAGGGAGGTGCACCCCCACCCCGGCCTGCCCCACGCCGGGCCTTCTCCCACAGGCACTCAAGGTTGAGGCCTCGGCTGCTCTCAGTGACCGTGAGTACGTCATCTGGATCAGCCCCAGGGAAGCCATCCAGAAGTGGGAACTGAGAAGACAGGGTCCCCGGGCGCGGTGCACTATGAGATGGGGGCCAGGGCCAGGGGAAGGGCCCATCTCGGGGAGGGGGTGGCGGCGGAGGGGGTCTGGGGGGCCGCTCAGACAGCAGGTAAGTGAGCTGCAGCTGGAGATCAGAGGCTGAGGGGCGCTGGGCTGGCGGCCGCCAGCAAGACTGCAGGATATCATACCTGGGAGACAACGGAGGGGACAATGGAGAGGCCAGAATTCCAGAAAGAGTAGAAGAGGAACAGAGACCAACAGAGAGAGATAGACAAAGACCGAGACCCTGAGGCAGAGGGAGGCAGAGACCCGGGAGTGGGGGAGGGGGGTGTGAATAAAGTCAGGTGAGGACTGGTGGTTAGGGCAGAGTTCCATGTGCCAGTCCCCTGCTTCAGTTTCCCCACGTCAGGCATCAGGTGATGGGGGAGATGATGTGACAAGGTGCTCAGAGGCTGGGATAGGAAGTTTGGGCCTGGGCTTGACCGGAGTCAGGTCCCTTACCAATAGTCAGCGTAGGGCAGTTTGAGTCTGGGCCGGGCCAGCTTAACGTGCTGCTGGCGGACAACGAAGGCCAGGACCTCCTCGTCGGATAGGTGTCGGTAGGGCTGCGCCCCGAACTCAAATAGCTCCCAAAGTGTCACCCCTAGTGACCTGTGTGGGAGGTTGGAGGTCAGAGGTCAAAGAGCAGTGGAGTCCCATCCCCACAGGCGCTAGCCGTGGCCTCACCAGACGTTGCTCTCACGGCTCTGATCCACCAGCACGAAACTGCCGTGCAGTTCCCCCAGCAGCTCCGGTGCTGCCCAGCGCAGAGGTACCCAGAGGCGCTCGGGTGTCAGGTAGTAGTCTTCCTGGGGGCGGGCGGGGTCAGCAGGTCAACAGGTGACACATACTGGTTCACACGCACAGACACACGCACACGCACTGCCCACCTTGTAGTTGCTATGCGCTAGCCCGTAGTCTCCAATGCGCACAGTGAGGTCTGAAGTTAGCAGACAGTTGCGCAGCGCCAGATCGCTGCGGAGTAGGGGTGGGGGAGGCAGAATGAGGGAGGGGAAAGCCCTGCCCCCAGTGCAGTGCCTCTCCTTCCCTCTGCTCACCCTGCTCTTCTAGTGCAGGCCCTCCATCCCTGACTCCTCCCTCCTCCTCCGCCACCACACCACCCGCCCTGCTCCCCTTCCTCTGGGTCCTTCCTCTCTCCTGACACCTCATCTTCCTCTGGTTGTTCCTCCTGCTCCTGTTCTGGCTCCTCCTCCCCTGAATTCCCTGCTTTCCTCTCTCCTCCTTCCCCACCTTCTTTATTGATACCTCAGTCTTTCTTCCCTCTTTCTCTACTAGCAATGCTCCCCTTTCTCTGGCTCCTCCCTCCCAGACGCTCCTTTTCTTCCTCTCTCCTCCTCCACTCCTCCTTTCCTGACCCCCCCCCCTTTTTTTGAGACAGGGTCTCACTGTGTAGCCTTGGAAATCCTGGAGCTTGCTATGTAGACAAGGTTGGCCTCAGCCCTGCCGGGATCCTCCTGCCTCAGCCTTCTGGGATTACAGGCCAGAGCCAACACATCCAGTTTGCTCACTTAATCTCCCTCTTCTTTGCGGCTCCTCCTGGTTTCTTCCTCTGCCTCCTTCAGAAGCTCGGAGTGCCTGGCACTTTAGAGTCCTCTTCCTCAATCTTTCCCTGCATCCCCTGCTGTGTGGCCTCCTAGCTCACCTGTGCACGTAGTTGTGGGAATGCAGGTGAGCCAGACCCCGGGCAATCTCTAGGCCCATCCTCTGCAGTGTCCGAAGGTCACGAGGGGGCAGTTCAGGGGACACGCCCTCAGGTGGCCGCTGGGCCCGGAGGTATCGCTTCAGGTCCCCCTGGGAGGGAAACAAGGGCAGTTCAACACAATTTGAAGCAAGTACAAAGTAGCCTTTGGCCCATGTTGGGCAGCCCCTCCAAGCCTCAGTTTCCCCTGCTACTTCAGCCTAGTTGGTCAGATGCTTGCCACACATGTATGATATACCCTGGATTCAATCCCTGGCCCCAAAAAATATAAAAAGGAAAAAGGAAGTTAGTGAAGCCACACAGGAGACCACAGAAACCTAAGACCCCCCCCAAGTCCTGAGACCAAAGCTAGCTTCCAGCTCCCAGTAGGCCCTCCCCTTCCCCAGCCTCCTCACCAGCTGGCAGAACTCCATGATCAACAGGAAAGGCAAGGTCTCCACACAGACGCCCAGACACTGGAGGACATTGGGGTGCTGCAGGCTCCTTTAGGGGGCAGAGGAAGAGCAGCCTGTGTCCATTCCATGGAGCCTCACCTCACCAAGCCCTTTATCAGGCCTCAAGACCTGACCTGGATGCACTACCCCCTCTTCTGCTTGCCCCTAATCTGCTTGACATGTGCACAGCTCTCTATGGTCCCAGCAGTGCCACGAGACCCTCACTCTCTGGTGTTCCTGTTCCTCACTGGTCTCTGGGCCTTTGCTCTTACAGCCCACCTCAATAGGGTACACTCTCTCATTTTTTTTAAATCTTTTTTTTCTTTTTTGCTCTGGGTCTCCCTATATAGTCCTAGCTGTCCTGTACTATGTAGACCAGGCTGGTTCCAAATGTATGGAGATCCGCCTGCCTCTGCCTCCAAGGTGCCAGGATTAAAGGTGTGCACCATTATGCCTCACCCTCACTCTTTTCTCTTTCTCCTGATTTTTTGCTTTTTTAGAATCATGTGTACATATGTGTTTATGTATGGGTGTGTGCATGTGCATGCAGATGCCCACGAGGGCCAGGAGAGGGCATCAGATCTGGGGACTAAACTCAGGTCCTCTGAAAGAGCAGCACACACTCTTAACCGCTGAGCCGTCTCTGCAGCCCATTCTTGTCTCTGCCACTGCCTAGGCCCCAGCATCGACACTCTCCCAAAGTGCCTTCACTGCCTCATCATTCAGCCTCGCCCTGGGTCTGGATCCTTCTCAGGCCTCCCGGGGAGGCCCGCTGCCTCCTCTGCTTCCCTCCGGTGATAGATGGGACAGGAGCTCACACAGAAGCCATGCGGAAAGCGTGCTGTGAGGGAGCTGTTCGTGACGAGGGTGGGTCCTGCTATTCTGTACATTTAAGGTAAGGTTTCACTCTGCAGCTCAAGCTGCCCGGGAGTGCACAATCCTCCTGCCTCAGCCTTCAGGGTGCTGGGATACAAGGTAGGTGTACACCACCAAGCCTACCATCATTGTCACTTTTACTCTGACTCTTAGACATATGCTTGGCTTGATTTTCACCCTCCATCCCAACTGTGTCTGTAGGACTGCTGGCTGCTGCCCAATGCTAGCATGCTCCACTCTCTCGCTGTAACTAGCTTCCCACAGGGCTCCAAAAGACTGCTGACTCCTACGGAACTAGGCCTCTCCGGTCTCTGAAAGTAGCCCTGTCATTGTCACAAACCATTCCCTTCCCCACAACCCTCCTCATCCTGATACCTCAAGTGGGGCCAGTTCACATGAGTTCTTTCTCTTACGGGCTACTTGCGGACCAGGCTAGTATCTCTGTTACAGCCACAGCTTGGCTGGCTCCCCAGCCCCTCCCCTCCTAGGAGGAGACCTCTAACCCCCACTTGGTTAAAAGCGTGTGAAAAGTGACTGCCATGTGCTAGAACCTGAGAAACAGCGGGAGGTAAGGACCAAGGACGATGGAGAGGGAAAGCCTGAGCTTCGCCACAACTCTGTGGGACAGAATAAAGACCAGGGTGACCCACAATGGCACAGACGTCCGAAGTGGGGAAGCAACTTGCGTAGGGCCACACAGATTGGATTTGGTCACAGAGGAAGTGGTCATATCGTTCAAGCCCATGTCTGGATCAGCAACATCAACTGAGGGCTGACAGAACTAGCCACACCTGTGCTCAGACAGCGAGGACCTGAGCAGCCAGTCAGCCTGGGCACAGGTCAGCTGGGGTGCACCCGAAATGTGCCAAGTGTCACTCGGGAAATGACTATTGAAATTCATTTTTAGTAGCCTAGGCTGGACTCAAATTCCTAGAGATCGTCCTGCCTCAACTTCTGAAGTGTTCTGATTGCAGGGGGTGAACCACCATCTGGCTTAATGAGGTTTGAACTGCTTTCATTTTATTTAGCTTAAAGAGCCTCAGTTTATAAAGAGACAAACAGACAATATGCAAATAGCAAGGCAAAACTCCAACAACACACACTTTTTGAGTCAGGGTCTCCTTCCATAGCTGGCCTCAGGCTCACAATCGTGCTGCCCCAGCGTTCTGAGTACACTTGCAGGTAAAGCTCACCAAGTCTGTGCAAGACCCTCAGAACATGAATCCCCAGTTCAGCATTAGAGATGGGCAGGTAAGAAATGGAATTCTACAGAGAGTGAGATGCAAAGGCCTTGGGGCAGGAGAGCAGCTGCAACATGTGTGCGTGCGTGTGTGCGTGCATGCGTGTGTGTGTGTGTGTGTGTGTGTGTGTGGTCGAGTAGGGGTGGAAAGGAAACTGAGGAGGACAGAGGCGAGATTATAGGAGCAGACTATGCAGGGCCTGTGGGCTAGAGGGAGCTTAGCCATGTCCTGGGAGGACTGGGAAGGAGCCATAGGAGGTCTTGGAGCAAAGATGGGCCAGAGTCTAATGAGCCCACGCACAGCTTCCTACCTCTAAGCACAATTCTGTGTTAAGAATGGAGGAGCCTAAGCAGGTTGCTTATAGCATTTTCACAGCGGGCAAAGGAGGCGGGGCCGACTCTGCAGTAATAGCTTGGGTATGGCCTGCCACTGGAATGAAGACCCTGAGGGGCAGAGTGGTCAGGCTCCCCTCCAACCTGGGAAGCCCCTTCCCCATGCTATCTCCAGGTCTTTCTAGGAAAGACCCAAGATCCCAGGAGGGAAATCCCAGCACCAGGGCTGGGATATAGTCAGGAAGAAATCTGAAACCGGAAGCCGGGTTTGGCACCAAACTGGGCTCCATCCACTTCCAAACATCACTTCCTCTATCTGATATTTTGTTTTTAGAAGCCCTGTCCATGGACTTACCTATAGGGCTGAGCTTCTGAGATGAACTTGCGCTGCTCCAAGGGCCCTGCGCTAGCCCGGAGCTCCTTCACCACCACTTGAGCTGGCGTGTAGTCTGAGAAAACCTCCCCCAGGATCACCTGGTCAAGGAGTGCTGCGATCAATGCTGACCTCTGCCCAGCCCATCCCCAGGCTAGCTCCAAAACCCCACACTCCCAACCACCTTCCAGGCCTTCCCTTAATGTCCCACCTCCCTGGTCCCCCACCAGACACGGAGTGAGAGACTCACAGGCCCAGAGTCCGATGCACGCGGGGACGGATGGAAGGATGGACAGACTGACGGACGCGTGGAGAGCCGGGTGGCGAGGCGGAGTGGTCAATGGAGTGAGGAGGGAGGCGCTGACCGACAGATGTGGGGGTAGGTGGGTGGAAAAGGGTGAGGGGTAGAGGGAGAGGGCCAGGCTGAGGGGCTGGGGAGGCCAAGAGCAGATGACAAATGGGGGTAGACACAGAACAGGAGCACAGGCCAGAGATGTATGGACACCACCCTCTGCCTCCCACCCAGGCCCCTCACCTTCCCAAACCAGCCGCTGCCAATCTCCTGCAGGTAGCTGAGATGCTGGCGGCTCAGGCCCAGGGGAGTGCTGATGTCTGAGGAAGGACGGGAGGGGATTCCCTGAGCTCCCCTCCTTTCCAGGATACCCCACACCACCAGTGGGTGGGGTCTGAGAGCGGAGTAGACAGCAGTATCCTTTTATTGGCTGTCCCCAACATTCCATGGCAGGGTCCAGCCTCCTCATTGGTTGCCCATAAGATTCAGAGTCCAATCAGCCCTTCCCTTTGGCAACCCTAGCTCCAAGACCAGCTCATAGGCTGGTTTTCCAGGTTGAGATTTAGGCTGATGGCACCAGGGCCATCCTGCAGGATTCTCTAGATCTGTGGTTTTCTGCAAGATGGTGCGTGTGGCCTCCCTCCGTGAATCCAGGGCTCTGCCCTCTGCCCTCCCTGAGCCACGAAAGGAAGCCTTCAGTGTTGGGACTGCAGGATCTTGGGGTGAAGGGGCAGTACCTGAGTGTGCAGGTTGCGGGGCAGGCATTGGTAGTGAGACCTCTGCCAGCGGCAGAATATAGACATCAGGCAGCGACTGTGAGGAGGAGGTCTCCTCCGCAGGGGGTGTGTACTCCCCAGAGCAGTCCTCCCCTTCCGGATTCTCAAACTCCTGGTGGTGGAGAGGCAAAGAACGGGAGCACCAGGAGCGGGGTGCTGAGATGCCAATGTCCTGCCCTAATTGCCTTCCCACAGCTCACAGACTTGTCCCTCAAATCCCAGCCCCATATCCGTTGGTGTGAGGATCCCAAGTCCCCAGGTTTGGGAGTGCTCTGGAACTTCCAGCCCCTTCTCTGGCTGGGGTCTTTCTCCCCAAGTTAGTCCCAGGACACCTCACCTTGAAACGAACATCACCCCGTTTGCAACACAGACAAGTAAGAAGAAGGAAGATGAAGGCCAGCAGACCGGAGCAGGAAATGAGAACTACAGCGTAGGGCGGAGCCAAAGGGGCTCGGCTCAGAGCGAATCCATCTGTGGGCACAAGGCTGGGTTGGGGTCTGGGATTCAAGACACTGACTACCGGACTCTATGCCCCTCCCATCCTGGGCCAGTCTTGGACTACAATTCCCATGATGCTCAGCACCCAAAAAACCCTTGGAAGAGAGGCCGGGTGGCCTAATGTATTGTGGGAGTTGTAGTTTAAGGCCTTCCCAGGTGATTGGGGGTGGGGTCCCGCTTTTCCTCCCAAGCTGGGACCCCCCCCCACCTCTCTCCCCAAACGCATCCCCTAACCCGTATTTAGATACATTCCAGTGACGAGCAAAAGTGAGGCCTGGAGGAAGCTCTGAGAATTTATAATATGCTACCACTGATAGCTTCATGACCCCCTCCCAATTGCGGGTTGCTCGAAGATTTTTGCCCGGAGCTGAATGAACCCCCTGCTTATCCCATGCCTGAAAGGTGACTGAAAACTGTTTATTTTAAAGACACTGGGAACACAGGCTTTTTCTCTAACCACAGCCTTAACCCTGAGGGAGGGGACTCTGCAAAGCCAGAGCTGTGTCCCCCTTAGAAATAGGGTCTCTCTCTTTCCGAAAGGCCGCGGCCTTCCATCTCCTCGCGCACCCGTGCACTCGCGTGCACATGATCTCACATGCACGCTCACATGCATGCACTCGGCCCGCAACCCACTCCCCACCCGCTTTGGCTGGTCTCCCTGGCCCTGCAGACCCGCTCGTCCCCAGGGACTGCGCACAGGTGCCAGGATGGCCCGGTGGGGGTGGGGCGCCGGCCGCGGACCGTTGGACATACTCACCCGGGTGCGCTGGGGACGCCAGGCAGCCGGAGGCGGAGACAGCCGCCAGGAGGATGAGGGCGCCGGGCGCAGGCATCTTGTCCAGGATGGAAGGGAGGTGGAGGTATCGGCGGCTGGGGAGGAGGGGGGGCGGGCCCTCAGCCCCCAGCCATGGGGACCCGCTCAACCCTGGCCTCCCCCAGCCCAGGAGAGGGGCGGGAAACGCAGAACAGGAGGAGGGAGGGGCTGCTTACTGGCTCAGGTACCCCCCTCCCCCTCCTCGAAAGGACAGACGGATGAAGGGATGGAGAGGCGGACGGAGGAGAAGAGCTAGGGAGCCCGGGTTGCTGGGGTAGGGGGGGGGGGAGAAGAGGGGGGGGGGGAGAGAACGAGGGCCCCGCCCCCGAGGACAACCGGGATTGGGGGAGCAGAGAGCCTGTCAGAAGAAGGGTGGGAGGAGGGAGGAGGGAGCGTTGCCATGACAACTGGTTCCCGGTTGCATTGGCTGCCAGGCGGGAGGGGAGAATAGAAAGGGGGGGAGGAGGGACAGAGGCCAACAGACCCTTGGGGGGGGGCTGGAGGCGGGGTCCACAGTGCGTGGCCCTGACACCACTGTGATATACCACTGGTGCCCACACGTGTGCTACATGCTAAGATGCAAATATCAAACCCACGCAGCCCACACACAGCTGACACATGTCACAGGAATCTTCACAAGCGCATCACATACAAAGGTGGACAGCCATCAGCAGACGGAGACGTGGACGCGTCACACACAAAGACACAGGGACAGACCACATTGAGAATGCATAGGCAGTCCAGCCTCTGTTTGGTACAGATTCACCCAGTTACATAGGAATGTACCAGCATCAATCACACACACACACATACACACACACACCACAGAGCTCCAAACACAAGGAGGCATCCTAAAGATCCACACAGATCCTTTGGGACATGAAGAGGCATACTGTCATAAACTGATATTCCATATAAGCAACAAAGAGCACATAGACATCACTAGCTCATACACGCAAAAACACTTGCATGCACACAGACACAGACTGGTCAGTCACATATGTGAACATACAGAAGCAACACATACATGAATGCAGGCACTGGGGATGCACATTGCTCACCCTCAGGGACAAATACACAACGCATACACATACACACACAGGAACACACAGTAGTTCATACATGCAAAGTCACACAGCTTATGCAAAAGCATAAACACAGGTCAAGGAACACAAACATGCCCTGTGCAAAAGTACAGTCACGAGTATACACACAAAGGCACACCACCTACCTAAACAGACAGCACGGATGGACACACTCTTTAGCCATGGTTACGGAGACTTGCTACCTCACTGCAGCCTCACGCCACATACACCAACACACAGGGGCACAAAAGACGCAGAAGCGTAGTTTATTTCATGTATTTATTCTTAGCAGGATTTACTCTGTGCCAGACGTTTCCCGAGGTTTAGAGTATTACCTTTGACTCTCACAACAGCCTCCAAGAAAAACAGGTGCTTTTATCATGCGTAATGTACAGGTAAGGAAACTGAGGCACAGAGAGGGGCAGTCACTTGCCCCATGTACACAACAGGGAATTGACAGAGCTAAGTATGAAAACTGGCCATCAGGGACACCGACACATCAGACAAGACATACACACACACATCACGTGCCAGCCTGTAGTCCCGGGGTCCCACCCCAACCGGCGGTACGCAGAGCTGCAGACACACCCAGAAGCGCAGACTGCCGCCCTCGGCGAGGATGTCTCCATGGTCCAGGAATACTTGGGACTCGTCCCCTCTGTGAGGCTGGACGGGAGCTGCGCGCGCAGCACTGCTCTCGGGGGGCACTGGGAAGAGGGGGTGCTCACAGGGGTTCACTGGAGAAACTGAGACAGGAATATCGTGGGATGGAGATACAGCAGCAAGGTACAGGAAACAGGACTGGGGTGAACGGGGAGTGAACACGCAAAACCCCCTCCCTGGATGAAGAGCCAGAACCTAAAGAAAGAGAGGCTTATGGGGAGTTGTAGGCCTGCGCAGAGTCTTCTGGGAAATGCAGTCCTTTTTGGTCCAGCTGGGAGGCTCAGGTTGCGCCACCTGCGGGGATTAGTTTGAGGGTGTCGGTCTGGCATCTGCTACCAGTGAAGCTTGCTGTTTGTTCTTAAATTCACTCAACAAATGTTTATTACAGCACTATCAATGCGATTAGTTCAGCTAGGAGCCAGAAGTTAGGGATGCTGGAGAGAGCCGGCTGTGACGCCCAGTTCCTCAATCTCCACCAAAATTTTGTGTGAATGTGCTTTGTTGAGAGAATCTCACTGTGTACCCAAGCTCTCCTAGAACTCATTCTGTAGCTCAGGATGGCCATGAATTTACAATTCTCTGGCTTCGAGCAACGGTTTTTTAAATTATTCTTTAATGTTATTAATAATGTTATTCATAACAGTTTTTTATTATTACGGAAAGGAGTAAGGTAGAGCCAGCAGTATCTGCTAACTTTAGAGAACATTATTATTATTATTATTATTATTATTTAAATTTATTTATTTTGTGTGCCTTGGTGTTTTGCCTGCATGTATATCTGTGTGAAGGTGTCAAATGTTGGAGTCACAGACAGTTGTGAGCTGCCATGTGGGTGCTGGGATTTGAACCTGGGTCCTTTGGAAGAGCAGTCAGTGCTCTTAACCACTGAGCCATCTCCAGCCCCATTATTATTATTTTCGAGACAGGGTTTCTCTGTAGCTTTGAAGCCTGCCCTGGAACTAGCTCTTGTAGATCAGGCTGGCCTCAAACTCACAGAGAGCCACCTGCCTCTGCCTCCTGAGTGCTGGGATTACAGGCGTGCGCCACCACTGCCTGGCACGAGAGGGTTTCCTGAGGATAGGTTTGGTATCCAAACCCTAAGGCCGTGAGCACCAGAACTGTTAATCCCATACCCTGACTGTTTGGATATTGCTGAGGCCACACCTGTGGGCCATTCATCTGTGTGTTTAGGACATATTTTGTTCCCAAATTTATGATAAAACTTTGTTAGAAGGATGCGGTCAGTGTTGTAGGGTGTGTGCACATTTGCGTAGCTGTGTTTACCTGTGCAGGCAAGTATGGAGACCAGAGCCTGACCTCAGGTTCTCCTCCATCATTCTCACCTTATTTTCTCTGACAGGGGCCATCACCGAACCTGGAATTCATTGTTTCAGATGGGCTGATGAGCAAGTCTCTGCCCTCTGTGTTGAGTTACCGGTGTGCACTCAGTGCCCAGCATTTCGGTGGGTGCTGAGACCTGAGTGTGGGTCCCAGCAATTGGACAGTCAGCGCTGTGCTGACTGAACCACCTCCCCGGTCCCCAACTTTCTTTCTCTCTTCCTTCCTCTCTCTCTCTCTATCTCTCTCTGTGTGTCTCTGTCTCTCTCTCAGATTTCTTTCTTTCTCCCCCCCCTCCCCCGAGACAGAGTTTCTCTGTAGTTTGGAGCCTGTCCTGTCTGCATATATTCCTGTAGGCCAGAAGAGGGCACCAGGCTTCATTACAGATGGTTGTGAGCCACCATGTGGTTGCTGGGAATTGAACTCAGGACCTCTGGAAGAGCAGCCAGTGCTCTTAACCTCTGAGCCATCTCTCCACCCCTTTCTTTCTTTCTTTCTTTCTTTCTTTCTTTCTTTCTTTCTTTCTTTCTTTCTTTCT